TCTGGTAAATGTTTATAACTGGAGTACTGATCACAGTGCCCAATACATTATAGATAAACTTTACCTCCTATACATGATACTCCACTCCGGTTATCTCTCCCTTCCCAGAACCTTGGTCACTCCCCTAACCCTGAGGTACAGTATGTATTCCCTACTACCCATGTGCATGTTAGCACCATAGATGATGAGCTCTTTAAAGGCAAGGGTTGAATATTTTCATCTTTGTATCTTTATTGCCTAGCAGAGTATTGGGATTATAATCATCATTAAATGAGTATTTGATTGATTGATAGATTGAGGGAAAGGAAGTTCACAAGTTTTCTCCTAGAGTAATTGTTGAGCCAAAATTTTCACTTTATAATTTTTGTTTTGTTGTTGCTAGTGGTTTCTTTTTTTTTTTTTTTTAAGATTATTTTATTGGGACCAGCAGTTGGTGTAATAGCTATGTTGCTGGACTCCTGTGGTTCGAGTCCCAGACTTGGTAGCTTAAACTCATGCCAGGCGCATGTGTGTGCGTGCCCAAGATCCTGAGAGGAGAATGGAGGAAAAGAGATTGGCGTGGCCATCCCCCTGGGGGGTTATTTCTCACTTTCTGTCTCTCTGTCTTTCTCTTTCTGGTGAGCACATGCACCCTATAGCAAAAACCTCTCCAAAAAATAAGAGATTATTTTATATAGCTTTATTTATTTACTCATTTTAATTTAACCAGAGAGGGACACAATGAGAGAGAGAGGAAGAGAAAGAGAAAGTGAGAGAGCAAGCCCACCAGGTCCAGTGTTCAAACCACAGTCAGCCATGTGGGAGTCCAGGGCCCTTAACCACCATGCCACCTACCGGCCCCATAATGGTATCTTATTTAATTCTAAACTTCCCAAATGTCTTCTGGCATCTTTGATTCCTATGATCTTAGAACAGTAGAATCATACAAATTAAAACAATCCATTAAATTCTTCCTATTCATCCTCTCACGGTTGGGTTGAAATCCCGTGTATAGAACCTCTGCTAAACACAGTTATAGGGGCTTTTGCTGGAGGAAGAATATTGACAGAGACTCTGGCAAAATTCCCATTTCTGAAGAAGAGTGGGTGAAGTCAGATAGTTGCAAAAGCCAGTATGCTGTTGTTATTTCTCATTTCT